TTCTAACTGTCGGCTAAACTTTACGACCTTACGCTGCACTCTGAGGAATTCTGTTCTTCGCTGTGAAAAGTTTCACTTAAGTCTGTGTTAAGGATACCTCATAAATCGTCAGAATTCCTGACAGAAAATGCCGTTTAGCCATTGAAATGTAATACCCATTCCTTTGTATTGCATATCATTTTATACTGGATATTCATTGATTATTGTCATGCATGTTACATATATTATTATTAATTAATTTGTCATATAAATAAAAATCTATTTTATACATTGTGATATTAATTATATGAAATACATTCCACTTAACACGATAAACGTTCTTTGGGATCTGAGAATTGAATTAGTGGGCAATTCTCACTGTTACTATTATTATCCCATAAATATCCCCACATTAGACATGAGCAAAAATTCATTTTAAGTGATTTGTCCAAATAAAACTCCTGGTAATTGTCGAATGGATATTGTAATTTATTTCACCTCTTCACTTCAAACAATATTTTGCACAAGTCTACCAGTTATGCAGTAAAGATACCATATTTTTTGCTCTATAAGACACACTTTTTTCCCCCTCAAAAGTAAGTGGAAATGTCTGTGCATATTAAAGAGCGAATGTGTAAGTTTACTTACCTGTATTGTAGAGTGGGCCGGCAGAACAGCGCGCACCTCGGTACAAGAACTTAAATTTGGTGTGGTGCATCTTTTGTAGCGAAAAATAAGGTAATTTCCAAAATGTCCAGAAAGAAGGGTGGTGTAAACGCCATAAGCACTACAGACATTTTAAATGGTTTGACACTTACCCACAATACTTCTAAATTTTCAGCAAAATTGATATTGGTAGAGTGGAACCCAAGGATCCAGATAAGTATCAAACTGCTGAAAATGGTTTGACCACTTACCAGGAGACAGCAGCAGCATTGTAGTGGTTATGGTGCTTACACTACCCTTTTAATATGCTTTAAAGGGGTAGTCTATGCACCCCTGTTTCTTTAATGTTACACAACATACAAGAAACAACAATTCATGTGATACATTATTCTATGCCAATGAAAACCTCAGTCTAATATTTTGTGGATACGTTTTTAAAAAGATTTCATGTATTTGGATAAAGTTTTAAAATATTTTTTTTCAAAATATTCAAATATAAATAAAATATATTGTACATAAAAATATTCAAATATATCAAAATATTTCAATATTAAAATATTAGAATATGAAATGAAATAAATTGAAAAGCATATACAAAAATATTAAATGGTGGGACAGTGGTAATTGGCCGGTACCGGAGCCCAAACTTTGGAGTTAACTGTGGAAGTTATATAGGCGCAAGTAATTATGGAGTGGAAGTTTTCCTTGTATAAGGGACCAGTGACAGGAGATATCCAGAAAACACGGACTTCACTATGGCCTTGTACCCTGTGGCGAAAGTGACCTCACCACTGGTTTTTGGAGGGGCCTGTTTGCTAGCCTTTTGCCCTGTGACTAAGGCCCCTGGCATATATTGCCCTTTGAAAACACTCTTTGGGCATATTGGATTTTAAAGGCACTGTTTCTGTCCCTTGGACTTTTAACTGGAACAGATTCAAACTTGTGGCGGCTGCCCTCTTAAATTGTCCAGCAGTGTTGTCGTGTTGTCGTTGAGTGTATGGAACTGTTTTGGGCATGGGACCATGTGCACGGTGGGGCAAAAATAAGACTCCCAGGAAATTCCTGAACCCCTGAACCGATCTGGATCATTTTTGGATATGTGGTTCACCCAGATCCCCCGGTTCCGATGATATATTGTTTATTGGGTTATTGCATGTTTTGGGGTCCCTGTGATATGTTTTATAATACTGTATTTTCCTGCCTGTGATAATTAAGTTAGGCTATTGTGTTGAGATAATTGAATCACAGGCAGATTTCTGATGTAATGAATGGGAGTGTTAGCTGTGTTGTAATGTGTTGAATGGTTGTTATTCAAAACCCTGTGGGCAGTACTATGTTTGTAGAATGTGAATAAAAGAGGCTGTATGTGCCAGTACAGTCAGTTCTACTTTACCCTTCAAAACGTAGCTTTGTCTCGTTATTGTAAGGGAACCTGCTCAGCTAATCACTAGCTCTTTTAAGAGGTCTACCTCTGTCTCTACTTGGATCCAGCTGGTAGAAAGAAGACTACTCCATTACTGCACAGCATCTTGCCGGGAAAAAGGACGTCTCCAACGGCTGATACCCCCTCTCCACTGGGGTAGCCGTTACATACCCCACTATTTATTCCTGAATTGAGACTCAAAAGTCCAGTGTATCTGTCGATTTTGCCTTTCTACAGATGTTTTCACATGATTTTGTTATGTGAAATATTACAGAATATGAATAAAATAATACATAATAGAACCTTGCTGTGTTCATTGAACTTCACATGATCCCAAGTCTTAATGTGTTGTCATCAGAAGCAAGAGGTGTAAGTAATATCCAGATGGCTGGTGTGACAGACGGTCTCTCCCTGAGCGCGGCTCTATTTGAACTCTTTAAAGAGACATTGTCGAATGAATGGTTTCATATTGGGGAGGGGTACGATGTAAGTTCTAACGAGTAAATCCATCTGTTTGTCTATCAGTATGTCTGTATGCTCATGTCATAGGCCAGGGATAGGCAACCTTCAGCACTCCAGGTGTTTTGGACTATACCCCCCATAATGCTCGTACACCCTTAACGCTGGCAAAGCACCATGGGGGGTGTAGTCCAAAATATCTGGAGTGCTGAAGGTTGCCTATGCTTTCATAGGCATTGCTATGGAGGGGCTCTGGGGGCTAAAGCCAGGATGTGGGACTCTTTAACCATTGAGCTCTACAGCTGGTGGAGGGATAGGAAAATATTAGGTTTTTCTTTGGTTTTTTATTATTTTATTTTGCAACAGGCAGCTTTTTTAATTTTGAAAGATAGAAAGTCACTAGTATCGTGCTCCGTAGGGCTACTTGGGGAAATGAGGGGTACCTTCCAAGTGAATGTTGGCAGTGGGTGCTGGAGGACAGAACGTTACTGCACACCCCTATTTTAGTTAAACATTGATTACCAGGTTGCTACATGTGCTTGTTATCAGCCATGTTTTCAATGAGATCCTAGGTAGCATCCACAGCACTGTGTTTTTAGGTTGAAAGGAAGGGACATAACAAGGAGAGGTGGAGTTGTTTAACGACATAGCGTTGTGTCTCTGTTAAGTTAGGAGTCATTGGAGTTTTACTTTGTGCACAATCTCCAGGAGTTTATGGAACCTAGGAATGCCTCTGGCTCATGTTATATTAGATTTAATGCAATATGCCCCAGTTTGAGATATCCATTCACCAGGTAATAGGTGCAGCTACATACCCCTCTTTGGACCAGAGATTAAAGTTTACCTCCTCCCGCATTCACAAATTTTACATGATACCTTTTGCATGTTTACATTGATCTGGTGAACTTTATAGCAAATGTATAGATCAAAATGTATATCAAAATGTATAGGTCAAAATGTATAGATCAAAATGTATATCAAAATGTATAGGTCAAAATGTATAGATCAAAATGTATATCAAAATGTATAGGTCAAAATGTCTCTAATGCACTTTCTCCTAGACTGATATCACGGGTGCAATGGTGCGATAGACATCATATCGGCTTTCATTACCATCGTACGTTTTCCACATATAGTTTTTTTTTGGGGGGTGGGGAGAGGAGGAATTGTTTAGCACTTTTAGAACTTTGGGTAAGGCGTGCCCTCGAAGGCACAGTGTGGTGCTAGCTAGCAGCTTTGTATATTTCTATTGTATATTCCAATTTTATAACAAGACACAGAGGCTCATATTGCATATCCCTTTCTTTACTGTCCACCAATAGCAGCAAAGAATACAAACAGAATGAAAGAATAATGAACATACAGTAACATAGGCCCCTCCCCGCTCTGGTCCCAGTATAATAGGCAGCACTTCCCTTCCATTTCCCTCTTTCTTTGCTGCTCTGATACCATGATAAGTACAGCACACATTTTTTCTCTGATTTATTGCTTGCTATTGATATTATTATTTATTGTTATTTATTTCTTGGTATTACACTGTATTGTTTTATCTGTTGATTGATTCTATTGTTTTTATACTACTTTTAGAGATTTTTTCCCCGAGATTATTTGTTTTCTCTGCTTGTTTTATGCTACACATGTGCACCCAGGGTCCAGACCTCCTTTGTTGTGTTATTGATTGTACTCCTTTCACTTGCCTTTGTCCTTGTGGTTTCTTCTCATCTCCTTATCTCCGTCTTGCTTTCACCTCTCCCTGTCCTTTTGGGCCCGTGTCTCCGTTTTGTTCAGCTGTTTTTCGTGAAAGAATCAAGCCCGTTTGGCTAATTTGTCACGAACACCTGCTGTTCATTAGTTTTACCGGCATATAGCACCATTCGCCTGTTTGCCGCGTTCGACTAATTTTTTTATATGAACGGTCTACTCGTTCGTCTATTTTTTCCTCTTCCCTATATTAGTCTGTCTACATAAATTTGTTTTTTCCCCACCCTCTGGGGAGACTGATGCCCCATTTACTCTGGGAGAGACCCCTGTCACCTCAGGCACTCCACCCACTCTGGTAGACAGACCCATCCACCCTGAAGGGGCACAATTCTTAGCGCTACAGCGCTCGGTGATAGACGCCATTATGGCAGCCATGGGGTCCATGTCATCTACCCTCTCCCATACTATATCCCAAGCCCTATTGCCACGTCCTTCGAACGCACATGTCTCGGTTTCCATGACGCCGCTGTCGTGTCCAGATGTGAATCCACCAGGAGAGGCACCCAGAAAGGCTACCCATAAGGCCAAACTCTCCTCTCCCTCCGCCTCCAGAATTTCTATGACTGGCGCACCTACGGTCGCCCCAGAAAGCGTATCTCATCCACGCAAAAGAGCCTTTTCGCGCCAGGCAGAACGGGCGCGGCTATGGAAATGTGCCAGAGCACAGCTAGAGAGCAACTCCGACTCAGATATCTGGTCTGGTGAGGAGGCTAAGATTGAGTCGGACAGTGACTCTGATATGGATGCCGCAGATATGGGCTTTGACCTCCTTCCCTCTGCTCAGGCAGAGACGCCCGGAGGCGATTCAGGGACTAGGCACCCCGCGGTTGCGGGGTCCGCCCTCGTGGATCCGTTGGGTGTCCCACTCTTCGACCCGGATGACTTACACCATCTGAAGTCGGCGGAGTGGCTCCCGGCTGACCATGTTGCCACATACCTTGAGAATTTAGCAAAGCGGCACGTAACAAATTAAGGGCGGAGTGTCCTAGGTCTGTGGTGCCAAATAAAGTGTGTGACACTCCTGAGGTAGACCCCAAAATGACACAGTTCCTCACTAAACTGGGAGGTAATTCCCGTAAAGGGCTAGACTCTGCCTTGAAGGCATGCCAGGATAAACACCTGGATATTTTCGGCCCCCTGGCCAAATTATTTGACTTGGCGGAAGACGCCAGAGTCTCTTCACTGGACATTATTGCCGTTTTGGTTATGGACGTTATTTATAGTGTTGCATCTTCAGAAAGAGGGAAATGGAAGGGAAGTGCTGCCTATTATACTGGGACCAGAGCGGGGAGGGGCCTATGTTACTGTATGTTCATTATTTTTTCATTCTGTTTGTATTCTTTGCTGCTATTGGTGGACAGTAAAGAAAGGGATATGCAATACTCGTCTCCGTGTCTTTAATAAAATCATGACTTTTCGTCATGTAATCGCAAAATCATGCAATTTTTACCCAACCTTTTCCCCCACCCTACCTCAAGTTGCTACAATGTTGCAAGCCTAGAGCTACCATCAATTCTAGCCTTAAACATTAATCAAAACAGTAGCTAAATATTACCAAACTCAAATCTCTCCTCCATCCACACTATCATACCTGTGCTTGTTTTATCATAGTTGTGACGAGACCAATCTCGCCACATTGCATTGGAGAAGCCTGGTTGCTCGCCTGCTGCCTTTGGACTATGGCCCCTTTTAAAAAGACTTTATTTTTGCATGCAGAAAAGCTGTATTCGTGCTTTTCTGCCGGTTGTTCGGTAGTTTCAATCTACCGAACAACCGTACGAATGACTGGACCACCTGGGAGCTGGAGTGTGCCGGCAATTAACCTCCCTGAAGCTGCGGTTAACCGCAGCTTAATTGATGAACGCTGGGTGGCCGCCGTTCGTATCCCGAACACGAGGTCGCGGCCATTTTAAACCATACGAATGAACAGCGGTGTTCGCCTCTATTTTTATGGAACTAAAAATCGGACACAGTTTTGCGCGAACACCGCTGAAGCCGCCGACCTCCCTTCTCGTTCGGTGAAAGCACACGAATGACCCAGTGTTCGGTATTTTTGTGTGAAATCTTATACCCCAGATAGGAATCCCATGGAGCCCATTCGTATGAAACTGACTGTAAAGACTTTGGCTCCATGGCGATTGAACTGTATTCGTGTAGTCTGAGTGCCATTCACCTAATAATGTGCACTCAGACCTGAGCTATCTGGGGATATGTTACATGTCTGTGGTTTATGTAGTAAATGTTACTTTGTGCATTTTAAAGTGTTATGCTGGTTTTGTGTTCCCACGTGTGTAATGGAGTTTTGCCTTTGTCTTGGGAGATAATTGAGTTACTTCCCAATTATCTCCCAGGGCAGAGGGGAGGAAGCCAGGATGCATTGTGGGAATATACTGTGACTGTGTGTCCTTTTTGTATACTTGTCTGTCCCTTGTCACAGTCTCCCATTTGGTCCCCTAGGGGAGTGTCCACCAGGTGGGAGACCTGCATAAATACTGGGCAGGTAGCCCTCATTAAACAGACCACTGCTTGACCCTCAACACGGAGCCTTGTCTCGTCTTTGGGGGGATTTACTGTATGCTGCTAAGGACTGATTGCCAGGAGTGTAAGCCGCTTGGAAGCTTTTCCTGTTCGCCTGCTAGCAGCTATTCGTATGGTTCCTGTTCGTTTATTTGAAGTGCTACCTTATTCCCTTGTATGCCGTTCGGGAGTTTGGAGCATTCACTTATTGGCGGTTCGTGAGTTTTGGTGATTATACCGTAGCTGTGCCTGTCTCTGAAAAGGGGGATTATCGTCTAAGTGGTTTTTTCCCCTTTTGTGCAAAACGGTCCGTTACAATAGTAAATATCTAAATCACACACAAACGATTGAAAGCACTGTTTAGTGATATGGTCCCTAATGATACTCAATGTTTTTAACTTTTATTATGTCATTCCCTATAAGGAATAACACGTACCCACATGTACTTTACCATTAGAGGAAACAAGGTCCTCTCTTAGAGTATATAGGAATGCCATATCATTTTAGACGGTGGCCCAACTCACTTAAACTTTATATATAATATTCTATAAAAGTTATGTTTTATGGTTCCACTCACAAGGGTAATAACGTACACCAATCATAATCACTCCTGATTTTGTTTGCTCGTCATGAAAAAAAATGGAATAAAATTGAACCTATGTATTTTCTAGATATCTGCTCACATCATTTCTCCTTCTCATGTCTAGTTCTTTGTTTGCTCAATCACCCACATTGAAACTATACCAAAGAAAATCCCACTGGCCCAGCAATACCTCATCTGCCGGAGCATTTAAGGACTTCCAATTTGCTGTTTTTAATTCAAATTAGAATGCTTATTTTTCTGTGAAAAACCTTTTCTTTTCCTTTAATTATAGCTGTTCAAATCACTTATCTGTGCACATTAATTTCTGACAATTAAACCTTTACCCTCAACGCACATTGAATATTCCTGTTCACAATGACAATAGCTATTAGAGTTTATTGAACTGAGCAGAATGAGGTTCTTGGGAATTTATTACTGATGATTTTTAAATGACATACATTTTGTACTGCTTCCTTTAATATTATTCCTGAGCACGAAATGTAACCGACGCACTTTTCAAAGAATATTTGTTGCACAGTCTCCTCCCCCCCCTTACACATGAAATTGCTTTTAAATGTAGGTAACATTTATTTTTCGCAAGGACAAAGAAGATTTTTAAGAACGTAGACATTTGGAAGAAATGTTGATCGCACACGTGTATATTTTAATGCACAGAGGAACCAATTGTATAATTTAAGTAATGTATTGTATTACCATCTGCCATATCATATGCCTTTTTTTTTTGTGAAGCAAATATTTCACAAGTCAAGAAAAATCAAGGTTAACTCCATACAAAGTAAATCAAGGGCATTACAGGAAAAGTAGACAATTACACGAGAAACGGTGTGCTTTTCTTATTTATAAAAAACAGGTTAGGTTACAAATCCAGGGCTACCGAGGGATTGTCAGCGTTAGAGGTTAAGAACCTTGCACACTGTGCACCCGGGAAATTAAATATTCCCATCAGATATTCTGGGAAGGAGAGAATAGAGTGAAAATATGTACAAGTGACGAGACCTGTATGAACATTCGTGTTATTAAGATGCCAACATTTAGTGAACAAGCTGAGTGATGTGCCTACCAAGTCTGGTTGCAGAGTAGGGTCACAAAGCACAAATATAGACAAAAATTACTAACTAAAGAAAAAGGTAACTTAAGTGACATTATAGTCACCAGAACAACTACAGCTTATTGTAGTTGTTCTGGTGAGTATAATCATTTCCTTCAGGCTTTTTTCATGCAAACACTGTCTTTTCAGAGAAAAGGCAGTGTTTCCATTGCATCTAGGGACACCTCCAAGTGGCCACTCCTCTAATTGCCACTGGAGACACTTCCTAGATTAGTGCTGCACAGTAGGCAGCACTGCCATTCAGCATCTCCACGCTCAGCATGGGGACGCTGAATTTTCATCATAGAGATGCATTGATTCAAATCTCTATGCAATGATTCAAATCAGCATCTCTATGAGGAGGTGCTGATTGACCAAAATGGTTAGTACAGTCACCAGCAGTAATCAGGTAACTGGAGTCTGTGTACCCCCTGCTCTTGGTACAAAACTGCTGATGTCATCAGGGTTCCAGGTCTCCGCACGATTTTCTGCTATTGGAGGTGATTGCGAGAGAGGCGGTTCCACTGTTTTTAAAAAGGGCGGATGCCCCAGACATAGATGTGAGATTGTGAGCATTCCCGTTTCAGTGGACTAATAGAGAGCCAGTGCTCTCCCACCTGTACGGTCTTCCAGCTTGTCTCAGTGAGGATCTTACAGGCTCAAAGGTCTTGCATTAGAGTGAGGTGACTCTGGTGAGGTCTTGAAAGAATAAGAGCAAGGAGACCTCGATGTATTCGCTGTTTTACCTGTCAGAGCTATCGTAATTTGGATTTTGTCATGCACAGTCCCACAGCGAAGTAGAACATCACGTGCCATAGTGGATGGAGTACAGATGGTGCCAGTCACAGGTATATCCCATCCAATTTTCTTGGCTACTGGATACGACAAGATTGCAAACAGCAATCGCCAGATGTAATGCGGCAGTTTTCGGTTGAGACCATAGTGGGCATACCTTGAATTTTGTTGTGCATTCTACGCTGTCAGACCTCGAGAGACTTAATTTGGAGAGCTAATACTTGATGCCCCAAGTAAATTCTGGCTCCCATTGGTTCACATCATCCCGGTGCCCCCATGCACGTACATTTTGGGGTTGCAGGCATGGCGTGGACCAATCAAATGTTACTTAAAGGTATTTAAACCTCCCTAGCCCTGTACACTGGGCCCTATTGTGATTTCTGTCCCAGTACCCTTTAGTGTGTTTCTTCGTCTCTTGTATATTATTATTCTGTTATTGACCTTGGCTTTGTTACTGCGTCTATCTTTAACCTTTTCCTGTGTTGTTTGCCTGTCTGACTGATTACCGTGTACCTGACTCTGGCTAGTTCCCTTTTTTTCGCTGTCTCTCTGTTACCCTGACCGTGACTGATTACTGACTACGCTTTCTCTCTGTCTACATTAAGTCCGGCCATTCTAAGACCCGGTTATACGTTATTCCTTGTTGTCCCTTGCTGTCCTGAACTCTGCATGTTGGGGTATTACACCGTGACACATATACAATATAACAGCCCACAGACACACAAATACAATGTTACAAAGCAACTGCAGCATCCATGAATGACACAAGCAGAATAAATCTTGTTTTGGCACGGTACTACTGAAAGGTTGCCTACCCCTGCTCTAGACACAAGCTAAAGTTGACTGTAATTCTTTGAGTCAAAATGTATGGGTTCGTCTTATATTCCAAAAAATCTGGTATGTAGTGACTTCACCTTGCCTTTC